GCAGGAACAGCTCACCACTTTATCGGTGTTGTAGCGCCCTGCAATGCCCAGCCCAGAGCGGCGCTGGTGGCCCAGCCAGAAGGCCTCTCCGCCCAGGGAGAGTGTGGGGGTGACGCTCTGAATGTAGTTCACTCCATAGAACGCGTTGTTGCCCGCCTGCGCCTGCCACTGGTAGTCCAACCCCTGTGATGGTGGTGGAGGGATGAACGATGTGGGGAGAGGAGAGAGTGTTTCAAGACATGCATGCTCTGGTTGTGGCTTAGCCCGTAGAAGGCGTGAATGTAATTCACTCCGTAGAAAGCATCGTTGCCCGCCTGTGCCTGCCACTGGTAGTCCGACCCCTGCAGTGATGGAGGGCGGGGAAGCACATTGAGAAACGCCGTTAAGTGTTGACACCTCGCTTGGTTCCCACACACACTCGCACTCGCGTGCGTGCGCGCGCACGCACGCGCGCGCGACGCACGCATGCACGCACACACACACACACTCACACACACACACACACACACACACACCCACGCACGCACGCACACGCAACACACAACACACTCTCTGACAGGCACGATCACACGCACCTTGTAGTCGAGCTGGAACATGCCCTGCGAGAAGTGAGGCTCGTTCACGATCTGCGCATTGACCTTCAACGCCACGCTGTCCGTCACCTGGTAGCTCACCCGCGCACTCAACCTCCCGTCTGCCATCCGCCCTATCAGCATCTTCTGCTTGCGGCAGTGATGTGGCACAGGGGAAGAGGGAAGGGGAGGGAGAGGCGACGGAGAAAGCGTCAGGAAAAGGACGACGGACAATCAGGGTGCAACCTGGTCGCTCACTGGCACGCTCGGCCTGCTGCCTGCCTTTTGAGACGTCTCAAAAGTTCTCTTTTTGCACGCTCGGACTGCTGCCTGCCTGCCATCCGCCCATTCAGCATCTTATGCTCGCGGACGGCTGAGGGTGCAGGGAATGAAGGGGAGGAGGGGGGATGGAGGCGATGAGGACAGGTTACAGAAAAGGGCATGCATGCAAGGGAGAATGGAATGGGTTAGTCTCTATAAAATTGGAATGTGGTACTATCTTCAATTTTGACTCACGACGATTCGATGAAGGACGGAAAGGCAATTCAAAATTCAAGTTGTCGTGCGGCATAGCAAGCAGGAGAGAGGAGGGGGAGGGGGAGGGGGAGGGGGAGGGGGAGGGGGAGGGGAGGAGGAGGAGGAGGAGGAGGAGGAGGAGGAGGAGGAGGAGGAGGAGGAGGAGGAGGAGGAGGAGGAGGAGGAGGAGGAGGAAGGGGGAGGAGGAGGAGGAGGGGGGAGGAGGAGGAGGAGGAGGGGAGGAGGAGGAGGAGGAGGAGGAGGAGGAGGAGGAGGAGGAGGAGGAGGAGGAGGAGGAGGAGGAGGAGGAGGAGGAGGAGGAGGAGCGGGATCAGGATCAGAGGAATAATACTTTCTAGTCCACCTCCCACCCAACTTCACTCTCATGCCCCACTGACCTTAGCGTCCAGCACATTCGCCCCAAACTCGTACGACGAGTGCGGCACCTTCAGAATGCCTCACTTTACCCCACACTACATTCATACCATGCCTCTACCTTCTCCCCCCCCTCCTCTCCGCCTCCCACTCGCCTTAGCGTCCAGCACATTGGCTCCAAACTCGTACGACGAGTGCGGCACCTTCAGAATGCCCCCCGACTGCGACGGCACCTCAGCACTGCCCATCAGCACACTGCAAGAGTCAAGTGCGCGTAAGGGGAGGGAGGGAGGTGAGAGGAGGGGGGTTAGAGAGGTGAGTGGGCGACTGAGACGGCACCTCCGCACTGCCCATCAACACACTGCATGGGTCAGGTGTGTGTGTGTGTGGGAGGGAAAAAGAGGGGGGAAATGGGGAAAAATGCGGGAAAGGGGGGAAGGTGTTGATTACGATACAATCGCGGAGGTGACTGTGGGACTGAGACGTCTAGTTTTGAGGCGCCTCAAAACGAAAGGGGGAAAGGTGTTGATTAAGATACAATCGCGGAGGTGACTGTGGGACTGAGACGGCGCCTCGGCACCTGCCCATCAGCACACTGAAGGTGGGGAGGTGCGTGAAAGGGGGGAGACGGGGGGAGAGAGGAAAAAGAGAGGCGGTGAAATGGACTTAGAGGTGATTCGAACGGCAGTGCTACGTTCTGCCATTTGCAAACTGTGAGCGCGAATAGCGAGGAGGAGGGGGGAAGGAGGGAGAGGGGGGAGAGAGGGAGGGAGAGAGGGAGGGAGGGAGGGAGGGAGAGGGGAGGGAGGGAGGGAGGGAGGGAGGGAGGGAGGGAGGGAGGGAGGGAGGGAGGGAGGGAGGGAGGGAGGGAGGGAGGCGGAGAGGAAGGGGACGAAGGGAGGTAGGAGGGAAGTAAAAGAGAAGGTACAATGCGAAAATGAGACACAGGTCGCTAGAGGGATTCAGAGAGAGAAGGGAAAGCAAGGCAGGAGAAAAGGGGGGAAGACGGACAGGGTAAGGGGTCAATGAGCGACGAGGGGAACGATCAAGTAGTTGCTCCTGGAGACAAAGGAATTGGAGGCATGCACTTGTGAGTCGACTCAAAAGAGGCGAAGAAATTGGAGGCATGCACTTGTGCTGCGCGCACGCGCGAAAGGGAAGGGGCTAAAACACGTGCGGGAGCGGCTGGGGGCTGTCTAACAATTACCTGTGCGAGAGCGAGAAGGACTGGTTGAGTGGCTTATTGAAGTCGAAGCGAAGGCCCTCGAAGAGGTCGGGCTTTAACGACACTGCGCGCGACGATGCACGGGGACGGGCGGTAGGGAGGAGCGAGGGGGGAGGGAGGGAGGGGGGGCGGCAAGGGGACGAGGAGAGTGCACGAGGGGAAGGGGAAGGGGGACAAGGGGAAAAGGGGGGGAAAAGGGGAGGAGAGGTTAAAGGAGAATGAGAGTGGGGGAAGTGAAGGGGTCCCATGAGTACCAGCGGGGGAGAAACGGGGGAAGCAAGGGGGGAGTGGGGAGAAAAAGGGGGGTGGAGTGGAGAGGGGCACGGGGAAGTGCGGCAAGCAGGGATGAGTGGGGATGAGTGGGGCGGGGAACAGTGCAAATGAGAGGGGAGTAGTAGAGAGGAGAGGGGAGAACTGGAGAGAAGAGGGGGGGAGTTTATTTATTTATTTATTTATTGGGAGAGGGGGGAGTTGGGGGGGGGGGGGGGGGGGGGGGGGGGGAAGGAGGGGGGGGGACGTAATACACTATGAGAGGGAGGGAATGGCGGAGAAGAACGGAAGGCGACGAGGCGGAGAAGAACGGAAGGCGGCGAGGCGGAGAAAGCGCGTGTGAGATGCAGTGGAGCAGAGAAGAAGGGCTGGAATGGAACGACTGAGCTGAGACGAAACGGAGGCCGAAAATGGTCACAGATGGAGAAAGGGTGGAATTGAGTTCATCGTTCCAGGCATAACGCGTTAGTAGCCTGATCACGCACTCTAAGCGCGGATGAGCACGTCCGGCTTTTTTTCTGAGACATCTCCAGAGACGTAACGCGTTAGTAGCCTGATCACGCGTTCTAAGCGCGGATGAGCACGTGAGCCCTCCAACTGGCCATTAGCCCTTATCCTGAAACCCTCGCTTCAACCCCGTTAGCCCGCATCCATCAATGCGGCAGATCCACGATAATCCAAAAACGCGAATATTCGATAGCGCGCTCCGTTTAACGAAGGTCTATAAATCTCCAGTGACGCACGGCACGGATCGGCAACCTACTTGACCAGAGTGATAGACCAGGATTGACGATCATCAGGCGAGTATAGAGGAGAAATGCCACGTGGGACTCGGGTCACCAGGGCTTATCGATCGCTGACGGATGGCAGCTGGCAGCAGGTGTCAGAATGGCCACGATCGATTCGGCATGCACTTATTGGACGTGATCTGATCTGAGCTGATCCGGACCGATCGGCAATATCCGTGTCAAAATACAACGTCAATCGCTCTATTCATCCTCGTTAAGGAGTGCTTACTAAGTGCTTCTCGTTGGATCTCCTCATATTTCACCGGGCACGGCAGATTCAGATAGTCCACTTTCTCCGGAGGCTTCTCCGCGTTTCCCGCCGCATCGGCCGGCGGAACGACCTGTTGCAAGCCAACCGGGCCCGCGGGGGGCGGAGGAACTCCCGCGGGTGCAATTGGCGGAGGCGGAGGTGCGGATGGCGCTGCCGCCGCGTGACTCACGTTCGCCCCCATCGGGCTCCCTTGTAACGAGAACCGCTAATAACAAAACCCTATATCAGCTAGACGGGCAGTGGCTAGACCTAGTTAATAAATGAACGCTATTAGGGCACAGCGATTCACGCTCTCAGAATGCGCCCGGAACGAGGAGGAACAGATGTAGGCAGAAGGGGGGAAGGAGGCGGAGGAGGCAGAGGGGAGGAGAAGAGACGGGAGAGGAAAAAGCAAGACGCACGGGAAAAAGGGAGACAAGGGAGGGAGGTCTGGGCGAACCATTCCCACCCCAAAGCCATATGAGCAAGCAGCATGACAAAATTCGCTGGCTGGTGAGAATCCCTAGGTGCGATGCGGATATTTCTTTTTCCAATTTATGTACCCTGCATTTCAACACAGTAAGTAATTTGGTAATTGAGCTTCATATAATGACGGGGCAGGGAACATCTCTTTAACATCTCCTTTAAGTGTTTAAGAAATCAGCCAGAGGTACCAGCTCGATCTGGATGATACAGAAAATACAGCTCATAAGCATGACATCCCACCCCCATCTGCATGACAATTACGGTACCATAGGTAGTACCGTATAGCCCTTAACATAAGGCACCTACTCGTGCTCGTTTGCATGAAACTCTGGGTTCAGATTTCACAAAAAGTGATAGAATATGCATGCACACCCTTTCAGTCGTTCCAGAAGACATGCGAAACAGTGGCAAATTCAAGACGGGCGGCACGATGAATCTGAAATCCCAAGTGCTTCTTCCTCCCATCGCATGCATTCCTAGGCAGTAGAGCGAGGGGGGGCTGTCTAACCCCATGGGATCTAGAGGGCGCAGGCAAGAGCCGCGCCCAGGACCAGCAGCGCAGAGAAGAGACGCGAGACCGTGACAACGCCGCCTGGAATCCAAGAGTGTGGGGAGCGGGAATGGGAGTGCGGGGTTGGAGAAATGGGAGTGAGGGAGGAGGAATAGGAGTAAGCAGGAGAAAGCAAGAGATATGGTGAGGAGGAATGGGAGTAGGGAGATGAACGAGTAATAGAAAGGTGGCCAGGTGGGTGCATGGCGCTCAATGTTGAAGGTGCATTGTGTAGTGCTCTGAACCACGATGATACGAAATTTTATGCATTGGATTGGGGAACGAAAGCAAGGTGAAAAGGTAAAAACACACTATATATTTCCATGCTGTGAGAAATTTGAATCCCAACTCCGGCTTGCAAGATATTAAAACGCGTACCAGGCAGGGAGGCGATGTTGCTGGGGAACACAACCGTGCTGACATAGAAATAATCCTTCTGCGGCTCGTCGATAATTGCCACAGCAGACGAAGTACCAGCAGCCGCGCCAGATGCGAGGGGGTCCGAGCCAGAAACGAGCCCACTGCTGGTGCTGTTACACTTGAAGTTCATTTTGTTGTTGCTGAACGCGGTCTGGAAAGTCGTTCCAGCGTTATTGCACTGCCCATATTTATGTTTCAGGGAGGAGTAGGGAGAGAGTGAAGGGAATTGAGCCAAGCAAAAAATGCTTGTTGTGGTAACAGAGTGTTGCTACAGAAGTGGCAAACACCTGTTAAACAACAGCGATTATGCACACGAAAGCACACACCGTCAAATAGAGGAGGGAGGGGTTTGGGGAGGGGAGGAAGAAGGGGGGTGGGGAGGGAGGGGGAGGACATTCCGCAAGCGTACCTTGCTATCCTGGTCCAAGATCGTAACCCTAGAAACCGCCGTGTGGAACGACATGAGGTTGAAGAGCGCGGTCCTCGCGGCCTCGCTCATGGGATGCGACGTGAGCGTTTTGCACGACTTGGCCTTGTCAGCCAGCGCCGACAGCTCCTTGCTGTTCGTCTTCCTTCCCGCGAAAACCACCGCCTTCTTAATCCAATCGCTCGCGACCGTGTCGAGCGCCTCGTAAAGCGCACCGCTGCTTCGGCTCTTCTTGTACCCCTCAAACGCGTCGCTCCACGCGCGGTTCGTGGGAAGAAAGATCGACTTCCCTTCCGGGAACTTGCACACGGAGTTCGCGAAGTAGCCGAGAATGAAGAACGACTTGGACACGTCGTCGAACTTGATTGCCATCGGAACCTTCATCCGCAGGGATGTCGGCGGGGAAGGCGGAGCGCCGGGCGCCGCGGCTGCGAGCACCTGCTCCAAGGTGTAGTCCTGCATGTAGTCGTCGTCATTGTACTGATCGGCTGGCGCCGGCGGCGACGCTGATGGTGACGGTGGTGCTCCGCTGGCCAAGGGTGCTCCGGCCCCTGCCCCGGCCCCCGGAGCTGCGGGTGCTTCTGCGTCGCCCTCGCCGGAGCCGGCCGCGGGTGCTGCTGCATCGCGGAAAAGGTTTTCACCCTAAGTTGCGGAAAATGGGATTTTCTGCCGAAAAGCTTTCCAAATGCATACAGATGTATCCAGAAAGTTGCGATCGTGAAATCGCAACCTACCCCCACTTTGCACACTTTGGTATTCGCGCCAAGGGCACCGGAGCGCGAATCTACAATATGTGTTCAGTTGGCGGGAAATTCGCGTCTCGGCAATCAAAACTTATAATTCTTCGACATTGGGTGGTTCGGTAAAATACAACAGCGTATACATTTGTGTAACCATGCACACCGAGAGGCACACCACAATATACTTAGACTTGTAGGGAATCTTATGCGGCGTCAAGACGGGTAGCGAGGTACGAAACCAGGATACCCTGCGTGCGATTTTCGCATATGAGATTCTGTACACAACTGAATCTGCAACGTTCCACGTCACTGCCACAGGTCCCCTCCTAGCCTCCCACCTCACCACCTAACAAATCTTTCCAGCCAATCGCTGCTGCGTGCATGAATCAAAATCAGCACTCAGCAACTCCCTCATCCACACACTTCCATTCGAAGTTGAAACCACAGTTAGGATGTTTGGTCTCCATTTTGAATCATTTGCACTCTCTTCGACCCGTGTTATGCTCACTCGATCTACTCTTCTCACATGCTAGGTTTCTTGTTAGCTCGTAGTATGTCCATATCTATCGCCTTAGCTTGACACTATTCCCTTCTGTCGAACATTATATATGTTACCGTTCTGTAGGCTATAGGTTTAGCCTTAGGGGGTACATTATTCTAGCCTTTCCTACTTGTACTCTCGATCCTTTCTAGTCCAACACTTCTCATTCTCAACACCTGCTTGTTCTTTGCCGCCCTTGCCAACCTCCTATTTCGTTTCCCATTTTACATAGGTGCCATTTTCTTCACGTGGATAACGTTTTGCCCATCACTTTTAGCGGAATCGCCAGCGATGACGATTTTGTCTCGTCTTCTCGCGGATGTTGGCAATCAGGCGCATGCCGGGCATGCGCTGTGATAAATGGGAGTACGAGAAAGAGAAGTATCGAGTAAGGTAAGTAGTTCTTGAGTAAATGTTGATTCCCACCGTGCATTGCGATTGCATCGCTCTTTGTTGTATTCAATGCCTCTCCATTTCTTTGCGTTCGTTTGGTCTCCAAGTCGAGTCCTAATTTGCCTAACGCTCCAGCAATTAAACTAAGTCGATCCGAGTTTGTCTTTTCCACGGCAGTGGTATTTGTTCGTCCCCAATCTCCCTGAGTCTAGCCGCGTAACCGCGACGAACCGCCCGACATTTTGATACGAGGCGCCACCTTCGGACAGCCGCAATGGAATGTGTGCGGAGGCAACACCTCGACGCCAGACTCTTGCGGGGTAGCCGCTCACGGGAAGTCGCTGTGAAATCAAAAGCATTGAGAGTAAGAGTAAAATGTACGCAATTCGCACACCTCTTGTATCCCTTTCGCTCATGCACTGTATCCATTTTGCGCGTTTTGTAAGTACATCTAACGTCAAACCCTAACGTTCACCTGTTGTTTGTTTTGTATCTGTTGAATGCCATGATTAGCTGAGACTCACTAATGTATTTTTTTTGCAGGCTATGTACAGATTCGTCGCGCAAGTTGATATAACAGTCGCTAACTAGAGTAATGTGTTGGACTGGAATAGTTGCTTTCTTTCACTATGCTTGTTGTAAGGCCACATAAGTGTATGCCATTAATGTATGAATGATTTCTGTCCCCACAATATTAAGCAATTTTGTACCTGAACTAGAATTGAAGTTTATTACCCTGTGAACCGATTTGGTCGCTGGTTGTACGCACGATCGTAATCCAATAATATGCCGTTTTTGCATGCCTAAAACTCAACTCTGATTGGTCCACATGGCTAGCTGATGATCGCAGATCGATAGTGACATGTGGCAAAATATATATGCTGACGTGGCAGGAACGTACCGTCGTACGTACACATTGAACATGAAACTGTACTTGTGCCACGTGGCATGCCATGGAAGTGACATTGAAGTGACAACCAAGTATACGTTATGTTGCGCAAATGTATACGATTTGCGTTGGAAATGTGTCTGAATTGTGTCCAGAAAGTTGCCGAAACTCAACCCAAAGTTCCGATGCTTTGACCTTGACTTGAAAATTGCGGGACCAACGTATCTTAAAAGTTACTTTTTCCGCAAGTTTTTGGAAGCCTTTCCGTAATCCCTTTTCCGCGATGCACTGCGAGCGCGGCTTGCAGAACCCGACGGCTCGCTGCTACCCCCATTTCGGACGAATCCGCAAGCGCCGAGGCCGGCAGAGCGGCGGTTGCGAGGAGTAGGAGCGCGACGAAAGCCACGAGGGATACGAGGCGGCTCGGCGTCGCGACGGGCTGAGCGGCGGCGGCGCCGGTGGCCGAAGTCTGCCGTGACGCTGCGGCGATGCGGAGAGCCATGATTAGCAGTTCGCGCGGGAAGAACGCCTCGGCAGGAAGAACGACCGACGTGTGCAATGAAAGGGCGGCGTCACACGACGTTTGCAACGAAAGGGCCGCGTCACACGACGTGTGGAACGAAAGGCGGGGGAGGCTACCTCTGAGACGTTACCTGACAGTTTCCTGAGTGTTCTTAAGTAGTAGTAAGCACGGCATGGCTCCTTAACCTCTGGTTCCTTCACCTGGGCTGAAGGTGGGCGTGTTGAGCAAGGTGAGGTCGTAGCGGGGGGCTCTGTGCGCATCGTTCCCGTCCTTTTCCCCCACGTAGTATTCCTCTTCGCCCCGTCCGCGCAAGCTGTGCGGCTCTGGTGTGACGCCGCTGCGATGATAATGCCTCCCCCGCATCTCCTTTCTGACGGCGCCTCATCGTGGCGACGTCGTTCCGAACAATCTGTAGCGGTTGAAGATCATCCTGGCGAGGTTTTTGACGCGCCTCGAGGAAGTCCGACATTTAAACGGTCTGTAGCAATCGTTTTGGGGATGACTCAGGAGCACGTCATGTTCAGTGCGGCGCATGGTAAACTGGTTGTGAGAACTCCAGCGAAATGGAAAACATCATTCCGCGCGACAAACTAGGATTGCCTCCGCGCTAGGATAATAGCTCAGCGCGGCGCAGAGCGCCGGGAAGCAATGTAGCTACAACGGCGCGCGCGAGTTGCTCCGCGCTTGACTAGTTTAAATGGCGGTGGTGACGAGATGACAACAGATAAAACTACTATCTGAATAGTTCAACTGCCATCTGTAGTTCAGGGTTTACAGGAATAGCAAAACAGAGGGGGAGGGGCCACAAGTAACGAACTCGGCCTGCGTGGTTTCCGGTTTCGAGATTTCGCAAACCCATCTCCCCTCGATTTTTGTTGTTCGCACATGCGAAGTGGTTTCGTCAAACCCGAAACCTGTCAGACCAGACTGGACTGGAACCATCATTTGTCCTACGCAAGCCAGAAAGTAACCGTGGTCGATTAGGTCATGGTGAGAGTTCTGACCAACAAGCACACAACTGCTGGGCAGCGCTAGATGCGGAATGAGGAGCGGCAAACAGGGACGGTCCGATTAGTTCATGGTGTACACTACTGTCATGGCATGACCTGGAACAGCTGTATCACGCAAAGCCAGTCTCTCCGCCGTCTATCTGCCTCGTCACCGCGCCACGTCTTGTCAACTGGCGTGAATTTGCCTTGCAAAGTTCAATCTGTTGTAATATGGTCGCAGGGCATGTGGTGTGTCGGACTCGAAAGGCGTGCCTGCTACTACGGAATCATTTGGTACCATGAGATTCCTATGGTCGTCAATCCTTCACACCAGGTCAGGTTCGGTACATTACTACGGCCGCGCGGCCGTCAGCCCGAGTCGGGCAACCGAGCACCGAGCCACACAACCGAGCCACACAACCTAGCCGAGCCACCGAGCGCCGGGAGACACCATCCGATGGCTCGCAGCATCACGACTTGTCGCCTCGACTCGCTTCCTGGTTCCAAATTCACCTCACGTTGCCTTTCTCAAGGAGTATTTCTACTCACCCGTTCCCCGCATTTCCTCATTCAGATCAGTGAGCAGCGAGTGCGTTTGGTAGTACTGCTATTAGTAGTAGATCTCGATTCACCACACGTAAAGCCGATGCAGTCCCCTTCCGCGCAGCATCTGCGGTGCAAATGGACACCTCGCGGCGGGCCGTCACGCAAGGGCGCGGCGGCAACTTGAAGTTCTCCGCGGCGGGGCTTCTCCCCCTGCTCGTCCTTGCATTGTTGCTCCAAGAGCCCTCCGCGTCCGCCCGCCACTGGTTGTGGAACGACGCCCTCTTCCCCGGCTCCGCCACAGGCGAAACGAAACCCTCCGCCGCGCTCCAAGCCGCGGAGTCCGACGGAGCGGCGGCGGGGGCTGCCGCTTCGCCAGCCCCGGCGGCTCCCGCACCGGCGGCGCCCGCGCCGGCGCCTGCTCCTGCGGAAACGTGCGACGACGCCCCTCTGGACCCTTTCGTTGCGTCCGGAGCCGCGCCCGACCCGTGCGCTGCGCTGGCGGCGGAGCTGAAGTGCAGTGCGGGAGAACTGGGGAACAAGACTGGAGGGGCAGGATTCGCGGCTCCTTCTCTCTTCCGCGCGTGCCACTCTACGTTCCTGTTCAGGTACCGCACTGTACCGCTTCTGATTCATGTACTTTGATGAGTTCAGCTCTTTGTTTCTCTTGTCCATGCTTGCTGGGCTCGTTTTTGTTGCCTGATTTCCGGTTCGGATATTGCCACGGTCGGCCTCCCTCTGCCAGGCAGAAGTGCGACGGGGCGGACCTTCAGTCGATCGCAAATGCGTTTGACAATCACTACGTGTACAAGCACATCGCCGTTGACTCGCCAGACCAGACCAACCTGCCGAGCAGCATCGATGTTGTCGCGGAGCTGCGGAAGATCGTCGCGGACGGCGAGAAGGGGAAGTACTCTCGGCTGGTGGACGCGCACATGGCGGCGTACAGAACGACCTTGGCGCTCAACGATGGGCACAACATATTCGTCCCGCTTTGCTTCCTCAAGAGCAGTTACAACTTGCCGTTGCCGCTCGTGGCTGTCGTCGAAAACGGACAGCAGATCATTCGCGTTGCGCCACGCCGATGTGAGTGTTTGACACCTTTTTTTTGTTTTGGTGTTGTAGCAGCTGTTTAGTGATATTCCTCAGCGCAGTAACACTCTTGCTTTTATAAACCTCCACTTATTTGTTCCCTCTACCCATCAGATGTCACTCCCAAGGGGATGCGAAATATTGCTAAGGTTCTGCACAATTTTGACTTCGACATTTACGAGGGCCGACAGGTATGTTACGGAATAGACTGAAGTCATGTCATCTTGCTAGCGAGCTTTACACACCCATTCTTCATATTTCTTTCTAATGCTCTACACGACGTCGCAGGTGGTGGCTATTAACGGGGATAAGGCGGAAGAGTTCATCCTGAATTGGGCAGACAAGGAGATGGGCACGTTTCACAATCTTGCTGCGCGATTCACGAGATCTTTTGCGAGGAATGAAGCGCAAGGAACGGTGGAAGGGACCAACATCGTCCAGGTGCCAGGCGACTTTGCCCGGCGAGGCTATGCTCCTGAAAACGACACCTTGCTGGTGTCCTTTGCAACAGCATGAGCTACATTGGCTCTTTCTTTCGCTATGTCTGTCGCCTACGTTCCTGCTTTGACCGTGCTGATTGCTTGCTGCTCATTGGTTCTCCCTGTCGCTCTCCACTGCCTCTTCCCTGCTGATTGCTTGCTTGCTGTTTTCATGCTGCTCATTCGCTCTCCCTGTCTCTCTACCCTTGCTGTTTGCTTGCTTCGTTTCATCCCTCTCGTCCTCTTCCGCTCTGCATGTGTCACCCCACCCACACAGTGTGTGCCTCATCCATTGCAATCTCCCTGTTTGAGTGCCATCGCCCTGTTTGAGTGCCATCGCCTTGTTTGAGTGCAATCGCCCTGTTTGAGTCCAATCGCCCTGTTTGAGTGCAATCGCCCAGTTTGAGTGCAATCGCCCAGTTTGAGTGCAATTGCCCTGTTTGAGTGCAATCGCCCTGTTTGACTGCAATCGCCCTGTTTGAGTGCCATCGCCCTGTTTGACTGCAATCGCCCTGTTTGATTGCAATCGCCCTGTTTGACTGCAAACGCCCTGTTTGAGTGCAATCGCCCTGTTTGACTGCAATCGCCCTGTTTGACTGCAATCGCCCTGTTTGACTGCAATCTCCCTGTTTGACTGCAATCGCCCTGTTTGAGTGCAATCGCCCTGTTTGAGTGCAATCGCCCTGTTTGAGTGCAATCGCCCTGTTTGACTGCAATCGCCCTTCGCCCTGTTTGTGCCCCCCCACCCTGCTTGTGCCGCACCCGCTGCAATTTCCAGGGATGGAGGTTCAACGGAGGACGTAGAGGTGCCATGGGTCGGGACAACTAAGCTTGGTGACTTTGCGAATGCCACGGGGTACTGGGCGAGTCGCTGTGCCATACCGAAGCCATCAGCTGCTGCCACTAGGCGGCAAGAGCGCACATGCAAGCACGCTCAGACATGCAGACGCTCCAGTGATGGACAAGTTTCTCGAACGCCATCCCGCTCCAGTCTACTACGGCAACGATACCAGCGATGGCAGGGATGATTTGAATGTCGAGATTGCGTCGCTTTCTGCTGTGACAGACGGCTCTTCTGGTGCAGTAGCAGGGCCGGCTATAACGAGGATTTCGCCGACGACTGATAATTTTCTGGTGAGCGTGATTGCTTTAGTCATTGGATGTTGATTCTTGCGTGATGGGTGCTTGGGTTGTTGTCTAATGATGCCTGGGCTTGCCGTTTGTGCCGGTTGGTCGGTGTGTCATCTAGGGGCTTGCGTGCAACAGCAACTGACTGCCATGTGATATGCCCTGATTTGCTCTGATATGATTTGATCTGATCTGTTTTGAGGCGCCAGCCACTTACGCAAACCTAAAACGCGCGTCCCAATTTTTTTGTGTGTGGGTGTGGGTGTGCACATGCGCCCATGTGCATGTGTGCGCGTGCATGTGTGCGTGTGTGCGTATGTGCGTGTGTGCATGTGTGCATGTGTGCGTGTGTGCATGTGTGCATGTGTGCGTGTGTGCATGTGTGCATGTGTGTGTGTGTGCATGTGTGCGTGTGTGCATGTGTGCGTGTGTGCGTATGTGCATGTGTGCATGTGTGCGTGTGTGTGTGTGTGCATGTGTGCATGTGTGCGAGCAGGTGTACCTGGTGGGAGGCAGCACGGCAGTGGTCTGGATTCACCAGTTCCTTCCCAGCGGTGTGGTTCAGAAGGATTTGAGTGCAAAGAAGATTGATGGGCCAGAGTACATGATTAAGGAGGTCACCAAGGCTCTTCAAATTGCAGCAGCATCAGTGCTCCTCTCCTGCCCCTTTTCCTTTACTCCAGGCTCTTGCCCACGCTCCCGCCCTTCCCCGCTCCTTGTCTCATCTCAGGGCCCCTCCAGGCTCCCGCCCTTGATCCTTGACCCCATGCCCTCATCCTTGACCCCATGCCCTCATCCTTGACCCCATGCCCTCATCCTTGACCCCATGCCCTCATCCTTGACCCCATGCCCTCATCCTTGATCCCATCCATGGCAATTGTATGATCTTAGCCTCGTCACTTCTCCCTCCCTCTTGCCCCTCTTGCCCCCTCTTGCCCATTCCCCCATGCCTTTCCGTCCCTCCTCCCATGCACCCTCCCACATGTGTCCCCCCATGTGCCCCCCTCCCCATGCCTTCCCTCTCATATCCAACGCCACTCATATCATCATAGACGTGCGGGGCAACGGTGGCGGGTATGGTGAAGCAGCATACACAGCCACCCGCTTGCTCATGGGGGCAGCCAAGGTCCCGGACTCGGAATTCTCCCTGCCCGTGGATTTCGTCATCGGCACCCTGTACACCGAGAATGCTGTCAATGCGCTCTCCATTGACCCTGATACGCCGTATTTCTATGGAGGATACTCCGACCTCAACGGAACAAAACTCTCGAGCGGGTTTGACTACGCTCCTTTCCGCGAGCTCCGCTTCACAGAGGCCGGCCCTGCTGGGAACTACTCGGCGCTGTTAAAGTTGAGCAAAAAATTCAAGGGGAAGGAGGAGCAGCCGGTGTTTGGCGAACGCCCCTTCCTGGTCCTCTCGGACGGAAACTGCTTCTCTGCCTGCGCCGTCTTCACACACGTCCTGGGAAAACGCCACAAAGTGCCCATGGTAACCATGGGTGGTTTGCCCAACCAGCCCCCTGATGTGGGCTCCTCATGCCTTGGGTTTACTAATCCTGACATCTAGGTGATGTCACCAGGCCTCAGCAAGCTTGCTGCCTTGATGCCACAGAATGCGTCGCTACCTCTCAAGGTGAAAGGGTCGGTTGGCATGGCTTTTACCAGTGCATATGTGGATTCGGAGATTCCGTGCAAGTTTGAGTTTCTGCCCAGCCAGCATCACATCAACTACACCGTTGATCTCATTGACAAGCCATGGGCCATTTGGAGTGAGGTGGCCAAGCTCTTTGCCTCCGCTGCATCTAGTTCATCCCCTTCCGACGTGTAGTGTTCGCTTATGTTGGTGGTGGGTAGTTATCATGCTGATGTTGGTTATGGTGATGGATGGTGGCCTAGCCAGTGTTGGGAACAAACAGTCCTAAGCGCCTCTGTCATGTCGAAACACCAAGACACAAGCAAAGCAGCGCATATCGAAACACCAGCAAGTCAACCCTCGGAGGTTGATGTAACCGCTGGAGGTTACGCGAAAGTCAAAGGTCAGCGACCTTTGACCTGACAAATGCAGCGCGACAGCAAGGACACATAACTGACTCGACATTTAGCAGTTGCCCGAGTCGCACTGTATCGAACCGCAACAGTAAAGTAGTTATAATTATGTCTCTTCATATTCTCTGTATTCATATATATATTCTTGTATCTCTTTGCTTTAATCAACTTACTTTGCCCTCACATACTAGAGCAAGGTGGTTCAAAGACTTTACTCCAAACGCTTCCGCTACTACATCACTTTACTCAGACTTTAACTCTACCAAAGATCCTAAAGGGCATTCAGCCCAACATGGTATGAGAGCAGGTTAGAGTCAACTCATCTCTCCTCAATACTTAATACACCAAGAAGATATGTCTACTAGAAAGGAGAGGAGCTCCTCCAACGGCTCTCCCGGTACTACTCCTACTCCACCTCCTGCCTCTGGCCTACAGACAGAGGAAGGGACAACAACGAGACCGGCAGCTGGGTCTACTGAAACACCTGCAAACCAAGGCGTGGGCTTCGATCCAAGCATGATGGAGAAATTCTTCTCCTTCATGTCCTTCTACGAGGAGCACCAGCAAGGAGGACCTGCGCAATCACACAACAGCAACAACAACGGAGCAACACCCATGATTCTCGACGGCTCATCATATGCACGGGGAAACCAGCAACAACAGCCTACCTTTGCTCCGTACGAGCGCGGATCCATCAGCTTCATGCCACAACCACAGCCCTCACCTGGACAAGAAAAACAACTGGACGCACTGCAAGTTCAGTTGCAGTTCGCACACGTTCTGAAGATGCAGACGTCAAGACCTTTTGATGGAAAGGATTTCTTTACCTGGTCGTTCGAGTTTGAGCTGATGATGGAAGGCGCGCAGATACTCGGGTTCTTCGACGGGATCCTGCCATATCCAACAAACGGCACATAATACGAGAAGCAGCAGTACACCTATCAGTCAATGATGGCGTACACGATCCTATTGAGAAACATCACCCCGACTCAACAACAGAACATAAGGACCTACCGAGTTTACGGTAACTCCGCGGAGCTCGCGTACAACCACCTGAAGAGCCTGTATCAAGCAACAGGCAGTGTAAGTCAAAGTCGGTTAATGGTGCAACTGACAACAATTGAAATGAAACCAGGGGAAAAAGGACTGGCGTATATCAGTCGATGTCGCGAATTGCGCGACAAGCTTCTTCAATGCGGAGGGTCGATATCAGAAGATGCCTTCGTGACAGTCATCATCGGCGGCCTCGGTCCTCAATGGCGCGCCACAAATCCATCCTCCGAGCTCACGGAAGAATCTCCGAAGCAGCACTCTGCATGGAAATCCATGCCGAGCAGCAAGACATGGACCTGCAAGAAGAACGACATAAAAAGAAGACGTCAGCACCAGAGTTCGCATTCCACACCCAGCGACGCTACAACAACAACAACAATCGGCAGCAACAACTGAAACCAGTACCTCCGTTCTGCCACATCTGCAAAACTTCAGGACACCCGCGCACGCACTGCCCGAATCCTCAACAATCGACAACACCACAGCGACAACTTCGGCCTTCAAGCACCCAAGTCACTTCAACGCAAGCAAATCCCACGACAAAGATTCAAGCTTCAATGACTTCAACAGGACAACCTGCACAAGGAGCAAAAAGCATCGTCAACTGCATGGCAAAGATAACAGACTCCTGCATCATCGAGTCACCACCGTACTACTCACCAGAAGAACGACTCGACGAAACCACACCCCGCCGCGAGTCACTTCAGCCGAACCCGACATACGCCGCCATCGCCCAAAGCGAGCCATCCGTAAGGGACACTTGGCTCTTGGACAGCTGCTGCGGACAGCACATGTGTTCCTCAGGATGCTTCGTTCAACGAGAACACCAGCTTCAACGTGAAGCAGTCATCACAGTCGCCAACAATCGAAACCTGCGAACAAGATGACAAGGCATAGTTCAACTTAAGTCAAGGGAAACAAACGTCGTACTACAGATGTCTAAGGTACTAATCGCGGAGGGACTCGGCTACAACTTACTGAGCGTCAGCCAGCTGATGTCGAAGGGTATTCATCTCGAAGCAGACAGTACCACTCAAGAATTCAAGATGTACCACGGGAGAGGAGGACTCTACATTGGTAGGGCGATCCTCAAGAACAACGTCTTCGTTCTTGACTTCGTCCCCGATCTTGGCACTGCCGACAGCGACGCCATCGTGAACTTCACTGATTGGACACATCCTCCGGACCTTGATCCACACTTCAGTCCAAAAGGCTTCTGGTATTCACATACCATTCCTGAAGCAGAACGAACACGTGAGTTAGTAACAATACAACATTCGGCAGCAGCAGAAACATCATCGGCAGCAGCAGAGACGATATCGGCAGCAGCAGAAACATCATCGGCAGCAGTAGAGACGACATCGGCAGCAGCAGAAACATCATCGGCAGCAGCAGAGACAACATCGGCAACAACAGAAACATCGTCGGCAGTGGCAGGAACAACGACACCAGTCCTCGTTGACGAAGCACCACCAACACCCGCACAGCAGCTGAATCGGACACAACGGGAAGTCCACAGAAGCGCAAACTTCATCGCCAGCTTCTACTCCAACTCCGACGCGTATCGACGCTCACCCGGACACCGCGCCTCCGAAGATATCTGGCACGCACGCATGGGACACCCAAGCAACAGTGTGTTAAACAACACAATAAGAGCAGGAGTCCTTGACAAAGACTCATTACTACTACCCGACGGCAGAGAACTTCAACGGGCACGAGGAACTTGCCTTACCTGTCCCGAAGCCGACTTACCACACCGGCCGTTCATTCCTCACCACAACCCGAGCGCACCCGCGTACGCACCACTCGAGAAGGTGTACAACGATATCCTGTTCAATCGGGAACCAGGACAAGTTACATACAACTACACGATCACCTTCATCGACGCCGCCACCCGTTACGTCTGGCTTCTAAACCTACCCAGCCGCGACATGGCACTCGCAGCCTTCGCTGCCTGGCTACCTGTAGCAGAGAGAGAGTCGGGCGCACAACTGAAAAGCTTCCAGTTAGACGGAGGGGGAGAATACACCTCTCAGCGATTCAAGCAGTACCTGGCGGAAAGAGGAATCAAGCAGCTCCTCTCTCTTTCCTACGCCCATCAGCAGCAAGGTGTGGCAGAAAGAATGAACAGAACTCTGCAGAACAGCATGCGCAAACTGTTACGCGACATGCGGCTACCCAACCACCAGTGGCCTGCAGCAATGGACCACGCTGTCATGCTGCACAACTTGATGTCGTCGTCTTCACTTCCGAACAACGCGTCACCGCATCTGCTGTGGACAGGGAAACAGGGCAGCACAAAAATGTTACGAGTTTTCGAGTGCATGGTACAGTACCGACCCCCAGAAGCACTGAGCGGGAAGATTTTCACAACGCGCACAGTGGGGACTATACCTCGGCATTGAAAAGAACTACAACGCGTGGAAAATCTTCGACGTCCACTCCAAGGAAACAGTAGTAGCACGTGACGTAATCTTCTACGAACGACTCACGCTTTAGACATACCTTGCCAACTTACACGAAAATCAAGATCCCACAGGTTGTTTTCGTGGTGACCAAGCCTTTGCCTCAGCAGCGGACGAAGCAGACTGGGACGAGCAGAATGTGGACAACGCATCAGAAGAAGCCGGACCTCTCCCGTTCTGCTCTGTCAACGCCCCCATGGACGAAGACAACCCTCGCGAAAGCGCCAACGCCGAAGTCTTCTACCACTTCGCCGACAACGGTTACGTAACACCTGCGACAGTCAACACCAACGAAGCAGAACGGATAGGGCCGAATTTCATACCCGACCCAGAAGCGGGAGATGAAGCAGCTTATCCCAAGGACGCAACTCTTCCCCGCTACTCACAGACTGGACTGCAGATTCTCGGCCTCGTCACCGCAGTCCACGGCAACGCTCTCCCTAAAGAGCCTGCGACGGTTCAGCAGGCTCTGGGGGGGGGGAACACAGGGAAAAATGGCGTGAAGCCATGGACAGAGAATTAAAGGCGCTGGAGGAACGGAACACCTGGAAAGTTGTTCCCATCAGCGTGGCAAGGAACAAGACCATTCTCACCGGGAAATGGGTCTTCCGCATTAAAACGAAGGCAGACGGCACAATTGAGAAATTCAAAGCACGCTGCATTGTGCGTGGGTTCGATCAGGAGCACGGACGAGAATTCACCGAGACATTCGCCCCGCTCAGCCGACATACCTCACCCCGAATTCTCCTCGCGATCGCCGCTATGAAGAAGAAGAAACTACGGCAAATCGATGTCGCCAACGCATTCCTCTACGCACCCGTCGACGCGGAAATCTTCGTCGAGCTCCCACACGGTACCCACGGGGAACCTAACCAAGTCTGTCAACTGCTAAAATCGCTCTACGGGATCAAACAAGCCCTGCGGCTATGGCAACAGTACCTACACGCTCGTCTCACTCGCATCGGATTCCGCCAACTGCCTCACGACCAAGGGATGTACCGACTCACCAAAACACCGACTACATTCTGCTGATCGTCTACGTAGACGACTTACTCTACATCGGCTCTACTGATGACATCACCACCTAGTTCGAAGGGGAGCTACAGAGGGACCTCACACTCACAGTCTCCTCTACCGTCACACAGTACCTCGGCTTGAACATTCGGGAGGAAGAAGGCGCGATCTACCTCAACGCCGCTAAGTACGCCGACACCATTGCCAAACGCTTCGCGCTCACACCTACCACCATCTCTACGCCCTACCG